TAGAACACAACTAGAGCAGAACTATTGGAGTAATTTCGTAAAGGTATAAACCGTATAATGACAGTTGGACCAGAAATAGTATGATAACAAAGTAAAAAACAAAAGAAACTAAAACCGTCGCCACCCATCATGTTGGATCCACTTCATGTGTGACCATCAGAGTTGTCATTGCATGGCCACCAAGTGTTAAGTAAATCATCTACAAGATTATTCTTGCTAAAGCAGAGGACACAATGAAAAAAATACTAGGGACAACCACGCCTCGTCCAGTATCCAAAGTTACTGTAGGTCCTAAAATCTATGAAAAAACCTCCTATATCACTCGTACATTTTAAACTTATTATTGTGGAAAAAAACACCAAATTTCTCTAGACAAAGCGCCCAGAAGAAAATCAAAGATGATCAAGGCACAAGAAAGAATATACTGCAAAGCACCATAGTGCATGTTCTGGTTCACTATAGGTCAATATTACAAATAAACTAAAGATACAAGTAAACAGATTTCTTCAGTTAAGGAAATAGCAGCATCCCATTTCTGTCGGACATTAAGTATTCAAGTTCGAAAGAACATGAAACAGTCCAGTTTACAGTTAGGAGTGACACACTGAGAAAAATGCCATATTAAAAACCTCGTCAAGTCTTCGATCTAGGATGTAGGAATAAACCATTCGAAGGACAGAATGTCTTCACATATCGAAAAAGAATTTAAGTAATAAATAAAACCATGTAAATTAAAACTTACCCACATAGGTGTAATATAAACTGAGAGTTCATCAAAGAATGGCAAGAAAGAAGCTTTGAAGGTTTTAATCAAAGTACCCAAGCAGTCGCCAACCTGTAGAAGGCCAGACATTCGATATAATTAAACTCAGCATATTACTGTAACATTGATGACTATGTTATTAAGAAACCACCTCTAAATCAAGAAAAGAAAGCGTTTTTGGCAAGTTTGCCACAGACCTGATCAAACACTTCTTCCTCCTGTTCATTTTCTTCTTTAAGCAATTCTCCTTCTTCAGCATCAAAATCTTCTGCCTCGGGTTGTGCTTGCTGTGATCACATGCTTGATCTCATCTACAATACATCTGACCTGGCTTTCATCAAGAAGTGGTCCAGAGAGCTGAAATAGAACAAGAAACAAATGAAGCCTCAAGTTACGATGAATTCTTGCCCAAATAGAAGATTTGTAACTGAATCAGAAATTTCATTTCGAGAAATAAGCTAAAGAAAAGATGAACCTGTATGCATTCATTCAATGAATCCAACATGCTCGCGCAAATTTCTGTTTCAGGTTCCTACAGATGATACTTGGTGTCAGATTAGAAAGACTACAATAACAGAAGTTGCATCTATAAAAATAACATGGATAGAATAAATTAAGGTAACCTTATGCAGAGCTTCCACCAATGCTGGAATTATATAATCAGACAATTGTTTCACATAGGACTGATCACGACCTTGAGCTTGCCCCTTTTCTACTGCCAACGTAGCAGAACGTAATAACTCTGGCATAGCTGGAGAAGGGAATTCCTCAAAGCTTAGAACTGCAGAATGCTACAAACAAGAGAATATTAGAAGATAATCATACCTGAAACTGCTGCCCTCCTAACCTCTTCATGGAAATAAAATTTGAGAAGAGGAACCAAAGTAGGAGCAACCTGCATTTATTATTAACACAAAGAATATTAATTCTTTTGCTAGAGAAGTTGATTAAAATTTGAGAAGAGGAACTAAAGTAGGATGAAACGTAGTACTGACAATTTACTGATCATGACATAACCAACCTGATCGATCCATGGGTAGAAACCCTCCTTGAGCTCATCAGCATAACAGCAAAGCATGTTGCAAGCTGTGGCTTTCTCTTCCAAGACACTAGTTCTAATACCAATCCTTTTGTCCCCAAGAGTGATAGTCTCAATGCTGCATCATTATCATAATACCTCAAGTAAGCATTGCATGGACACTAGAAATCAATGACTGAACTTTCGCAGGTTTTTAGTGCTGGGGTAATATTTTGCATGACAAGGAACCATTCAAACAAACTACACACACACAGAGAAGAGAAGAGAAGAGAAGAGAAGAAGAGAGAGAGAGAGAGAGAGAGAGAGAGAGAGAGAGAGAGAGCAGAGATTTAAAGCACAGGATTTCAGAAATCAAAGGTGTGGAAAGTGAAAGCTACTTCAGGGTGTATGATTGGGCTGTTGCACTTTTTACTAGTCATAAATGGTTATAATATCAAAAGTGGTAGACGATCATTCTTCTCGGAGAGGAAAACACCACAATGCTAAGTGCACAAATGTTAAGGTTAAAATGAAACCAAGATGAGAAAGAGACCCCCCCCCCCACACACACACACACACACAAACCAAAAAGGAAAAAAAATCCATGACTATCTAGGCCAACAATCCACCAAAGCCACCAACACTGAAGCATCCACATGAACAAAGATGACTTTATTCACACAAAAAACCACAGGGCATGCATGTAATATTCAACTACCTAACTAGACAAAGTTCACGGATGGGTATCTCACAATAAACTGCTTTGAAGTTAACAAGACAGGACAAATCTCAAAAGGCATAGTAAGTATAGACATAGAGGGTGTTTGGTAAGGCTTGTTTTTTGAAGCTTATAAGTTATGCTGACTTTTAATGGCTTTTAGTTTTTTTGATAAAAATACTATAAAAATTGTTTGAGTAGAATAGTAATTTGCTTGGCAAACCTAGCTTTCTTAAGTGAGCTTATAAGCTAGTTTTTCAAAAGCTAGGGTATACCAGCTTTTTAAAACGAGACTTACAAGCTAACTCATTTGGCATTTTACCAAACAGGTAGAAATAAAAAAGCTAGCTTAAAAGCTCATTCGACCAAAAAATAAGCTTCCCCAAACACCCTCATAGGCTAGGAACATTGTGTTTGCTTGAATACACAGAAATGCTTGTGCACACAACACGTATCTTCGCGTAACATATTCTTTATCATGAATAGTAATTTTTTAAAAATATCAGTTCACAGATACTATGAACTAACATTTCAAATATTTAATTGCCTGGTAATAGTTTTTAAACTTTTGACTGTGTCTTCCCCAATCCCCATATGATAACTGTGGACATTTCATACTGCGATATATTCTAGTTTATTGCAGCTTAGGGCACAATACTTTTCTAATATATAATTACAATTTGACATGAAAATCAAAAGATAAGTTATATATACCAATATGCCATGATGCATATAGCAGTAGTATGATGAATAAAAAGTTTCTAAGAAATGGTCAAAAGAGTTTCGACAATTAAAATATACATTACTAAATCAACGATAGGTTGGTTAGAATATAATCGAAAAAATGTTTGACATGTACCAAAGAATATCCAAGAAATGTGTGTTCAAAATTTCAAAAATTTCATGACAAATAGTGTAACAGTGGCCTTTAGCTTTATCGTTGCTCTAGATTTGCAACATTGCAGTTCTCACTTGACTTCCTATCAAGCGATTCATGTTCATAAGCCTTCAGGTTTTTTTAGAAGCCCAGATTATCAAGGCTATCAAAACAATTGGTGCATAACAAATTAAAAAGTATAAAAAACTGAAAAATAAACTTGGCCCTTAGATTTTTATCCCAAAAAAATTAGAACATGCATATTTAAGTGAAGCGTGAGTCATTTGTAATTCTTCATCACTATGATGATTCCTGTATGTCAAAAATTGTAATGAAAAATATAAATGGAGCTGAAATTATTCAATGTTTTTCCCCCTCTACCTCGCCATCTCAGTTAAATGAGATTGTTTATTTCAACCACTAAATGAGCATAACAAAAATTGCAGCTGAAATTAATCAATGCTTCTTAAAAACAGAAATGAGCATAACAAAATTGCAGGAGATAGCTCAATGTAACTAACCAACTAAAATTTTAAAAAAAAAAACGTTACCAAATACATTTGTTACCAAGCAAATGAGATACTGAGCTCACTAGGGTGAGAAATAACTATATAATCAAACATGGTATCTGATGAGAAACCTAACATACTAGCTAGAGAATCATGAAGGGTGAGAAAAAGTTATGATTGCAAGGCAGTAGCAATAATTTGATTGCAAAAGACCTTCATTATCTGAGGTTAAATTCAGCAAGATAGGCAACATATCAGTCAAACTCTAGCTAAAAACATAAAACGCATGCCAAATTAGATAAGAATGTCAGCGAATGACTTTAAATTTATTAGAAACTCCCAAGAAAATATTAACAGATTTCTTTTATCTAAAACAGACCTTTCATCATCTGATTCATCTATATCATCATCAGAATCAGCAGAGGTTATGGTCACGTCTGGTTTGAGCTGTGCAGACTGAAGAAGTGGAGGCATGACAACACTCATGTATGGAAGAAAATCTTGACCTAAGCACTTGCAAAGTCTAGCCCATGCCTATCACAAAGTCCATGAATTCAAAATAAGGAAAATGTTGAGGTACGCATAGTTACGAATCAAATTTAGTAACAGACACATACTTGAAGCATGTAGCTTGTTATTGGATCATCTGTCTCCAGCTGAGATCCTTGAAGTGACATCAACACTTCCATAACCTATTGAAAACAAAAGATGAGGATAGCTGCATAACATTGCTGAATAATTGTAACAGAATAAGAATAACAACCAAAACATTGCAAATACTCGCAAATAAAATCTCTATAGCAGAAGACCATGAAGGTTAAAGAAAAGCTCCAATATCTGCTTTCAATGTAAGAACAAACCCTCAAACAAAAAAATGAACACCAACATACTGCTTATGATATCTAAACATTAAAAACTTATTTCAGGTGAAAGATCACAAAGGGTCTCACATTGCACTGTAACCTTTGGGAAATGAGAATTGCATGAGAATTAAGATTAAAAACAGAGAAGCCATTACCTGTTTAGCATCATCCCTGAATTTCTCCTTCCCCACAGCCATACCGACCAAACTAATGCATTCCATGGATTTAGCACGAAGCATACGATTGGACTTGTCAGTTGCATTCATCAAAATAGCTTTCAGATATGGCATGACAGCATCATAGTACTTCTGGAATTGCTCCTGCATAAGAATGTGATGTGAAAATGTTTTCAAGTCATATAAAGAAATATAAAATTAACAGCCTGATATGCAGTGTTTTTTATCCAGCACCTGAGATGAATCGGCAACAGATGCTAAAGCTGTCAAAGCTCCCTCTTGTACCATCTGCTTCCCATTCTGAAAAAGAACGTTTCTTATTGTTAGACACTTCTTGGCAAATATACACCAGAAGAATAAACAAGAATTTTTTTTTTTTTTTTTTTTTTTTTGGGGGGGGGGGGGAATATTTAACGGAAATGGTTTAAAAAAAAAATTTTTTTTTTTTTTTTTTTTTTTTGGGGGGGGGGTTGCATAAAATTCAGCTCTATTACCTGTAGCAATACAAGCAATTTGCTAATAATTCCATCCAAGTACGGTGTCAAAATCTCCGGCGTGCAGTTCTCGCTGAAATTCAGAACAGCTGAAGCAGCATGTGCCTAAAAAATCATCATTTACATAATGCTGAATTAATTTATCTTAGTTAAAATTCTTCTTCTACTACTACGACTACTACAACAACAAAGCTTTTATCCCAAAGTTTTGGGGTCGGGCCGGTCGGCTACATGAATATTATTCTTCCATTCAGTTCTATTGTGCATTTGTGCGTCATCTCCTTTGTTAAATTAGATATTAGCATATTCTTCTTAATTGCTTCCAGCCAAGTTTGTCTATCTCTATATCTCTTTGCCCTAGTAACTACTATATTATCTTAGTTAAAATATTTAAAAAATAAAATCAATGCCTTATGTCATCAGAATATTTATTCTATTTTTCATAATTTTAAGTCTCATACTATCCGATAAAAATATTACATTTAAGCTCTATGTGATAAAACCAACACTTTTTCATGAGAGTGGTGATTACTGGACTACAAATCCCAAACTACTTTTGTACTACTACTACTACTAGAAACAGAAGTGGGGTATTTGATAACTCATCGATTTTGGTAGCAATTCAAAAGAAAGCACCCCGTCCAATTGTTTCTAGTAGTTTCAAAAGTAATATGGAGGTAGCTATAAGTTTCACTAAGTCAGATTTTCTATGAAGCCCATGGCTTCCTTGTTCCCCTTGTTAGCTATTACACTTGAAGTATGCCTAATACATCACATAACCAGAACACAAGAATTTGCGTCAAGGAGAGGTTGAAAAACCAATATGAAGGGAGAAACAGAAACTGATAGTAAACATCAATGCATGCTATATATAGAGGATATTTGGGAGAACTTATTTTTAAGCTTACAAGTTATGATGGCTTTTGGTGGCTTTTGGTGGCTTTTGGTGGCTTTTATAACAAAAACTTTATAAACCTTGTAAGAGTAGAAAAGTCATTTGCTTGGTCAAACCTAGCTTATTTAGATGAGCTTACAAGCTAGTTTTTCAATAACTGGAAAGCCCCAACTTTCTTAAGTCAGTTGACATGTCACCAGACATGTAGATATGGATAAGACAAATTAAAAGTTACTTTGCTCCCCTGAACACCGTCATAATAATCTTAAGTTTATTTACAACATAAATCAAAACTCTTAAATGGATGAAATGAATTCTACTTGCCTGTACTCGGGGGTTCTGGAAATCATCCATAGCAGAGGCCAAAGCCGGCAGCACCTTATGGTGATACTGTACTTGCAAATCTGGACCCAAATCCGTGGAGAGTTGGCCAATGGCATTAATTGCCGCCCATCTCACTCTTGGATGCGGATCTTGGAATGAGTTCAAGACCATGTTTACCACTTGTTCCAAGTTTTTAATCATTACCTACACAACAAAACAGTACCGAATATATCTCACATACCCAATAACCAATACATTAACAATCATCAATTTATTGCACTTAAGCTACCTTTGAGCAACCCTCTGCAATCTGGGCAAGTGTAATCAAAGCAGCATGATGCTTCTGCCACTCAGGAGCAGCAAGATAAGCCGGCAACAACTCTGAAGCAACAGGAACAATGGTATTCCCTCCAAGTGCAATCGAGAGCCTATCCAAGCACTCTTGTCCCACGCTATAATTGCTCGTCTCTCCCGCATCTTCATCCTCCACCTCCGCAGAATGCCAGGCGGGTTCATCCTCAATATCAAGCAACATCTTCATCAGCACGGCAAACAGCCTCCCAACAAACTGTGGCAGCTTCCTCATCATCCCCGGTGCCCTCTCCCTTGCCTCTGCCAGCGTAATCACAAACTCCACAGCCAAATGCCTCGTCCCCTCCTCCAACCCGTCAGCCTCCGCAATCTGCAGCATAGCTCCAATAACTTCAGGCAACTGCCTCCTCAAGAACCTTGGCTCGCTGCCTGCAAGCTCTATAAGCAGCTCCAAGGCTTCCTGCGCTGTCGACTCCTGCCCCGAATTCAACGACTCTGTCAAAGTCCTCATCATCGCCGGCAACAGATCCTGGAACTTATCCCTATCCGAAGCCGACGTCAAGCACTGTATGAAATTAATCGACGCCCCAAGCGAAGCAATCCTCACATCCACCGAGCTCGAATTCGTCAACGCCTGCAAAAACACACCATGCAGCATTCCAAGATGCGGCAGCAGCGTATCCCCGATATACTGAGCCAACTGCGAGAAGATCAACAGCGAGGACTCTTGAAGCTTCGGCGAATCCGAAGTCACCGCCTGAAACATAAACGGCAGCATCTCCGGCCACGCATTATCAGGCAACAGATTCGAGGCCAGCTTCCGACACCGTATCGCAAAGCTTCTTCTTAGAATCGTCTTCACCTCCTCCCGCCCTGCCACGTTGGACAGAAGCAGCGACTTCAGCTCAAACTTGGCCGTCTGCGCCGAGAAGCCTCGGCACCAGGTACGACGGCTGCGAGTCTCCGGACGAGGACGACGCCGTCAACTGCTTGCGCAGAAGGATCGCCGACATGGCGCGAATCTCGATGACGGAGGATTGGTGGAGGAGGGCGGCGAGCTTGAGGGCTAGGGCGTCGGGGTGGTGATCGCGGACGAAGTTGAAGATGGACTCGGCGTGAGATCGCTGGTCGTTGGCGGTGGACATGAGCTGAGAGATTAGGGCTTGGAACGGGCCGAGGTCGGCGCCGAGGATCGATTGGAGTTGGGCTTGATCCATCGGCAAGAGCACGGCATGGGGGGCGAGGCATGACCGACGATGGAGGCTAGGGTTCTTGGAGGTGGGGGTAGAAGAGAGGGAGAGGATTGCGCGGATTTTGGGTGGGGCGCGTTTTATTGTTAGGGTTTGAGGGCGCCGCGCGGTGAAAAAAGTAATAGGAAATGTTACTTCGTGGGGGGGGTGGAGGGAGCAGTTACGGGGCCGGGTCGGGCTTTTCGACCGAATTGGCGCTTAGCTGTAAGTAGAGTTGGTGTTTGGTGTTTGGTGTTCGTTGGGTTTGAGGGGATATATCCGGTTGGATAAGCGTAGGTTTAGGGGCTGTTTGGTTCGCTAAAAATATTGGAAATGAAAGGAAAAGGAAACGCTTTTTTAAAACCATTTCCATTTCTTGTGTTTGGTTCACTTTTTATTGTGAAAAAGAAATGAGATGAGATGAGTTGTCACCATATTATTGGATGATGTGAGTTATTTTAAAATAAAACTTATTAGAGGTTCTTTTCTTGTGTTTGGTTGGCTAAAAAATAAGGAAAAGAAAAAGCTTTCCTTGTTTAGATTCTTTTATTGTGATTGGTTCCTTCTTAAAATTAAGAAAAGAAATGAGATGAGATGAGTTGTCATTATATTATTGGTTGATGTCACCCAATCTTTTGGAAAGCCATTTCCAAGTTTTTTTGGAGGATGTGGAGAGAGAAAAAATGGAGATGAGAGGAGATGAGTTGTCAATTTTTTATTGGATGATGTGAGTTATTTTTAAAGATGAGATGAGATGGGGTGATGTGACTTGGATGATGTGACCCATTTCTTGTGTTTGATTTATTTTTAAAAGTAAGAAATGAGATAAGATGAGATGAGTTGGGGGATAAAAATAATATTTTATTAGATGTTGTGGATGAGTTGGATGATGAAAATAATATTTTATTAGATGTTGTGGGTGTTTTTTTGGAATGGAAATGGAATCTAATAATATTATATTACATTTCCAAAAAACTTTCCATTTCTTGGTTTTTAGGAAACGAACCAAACAGCCCCTTAGAGACGCGTGTATTATAAATTTCGCGTATCAATATACGCGATTGGATAAAAATACGGGACCCGTAGACATATTTGAATCTATGTACAGAATCCAGATATATGTACCAATCAATTCAAAATATTATGGTCATGGATGATGCGCTTCGGGCTGCCTTTTAATAATAGATTTCTATAGAAAAAAATCGAGCCAAAATTATTTTGGGCTTAGGTTGTACGTATGGAAACTATTTTTCTGATCCGAGAATTGGATATTACGTTTTTGAGGTGTTCGGAATGCATAGACGAATTGTGATTTGATAATGCTTATTTTATTTAAATGTTTTTCTAACTGCAATAGTGGTATATTTTTTTTGAATTTTTTGTTTTCGTATATGTTATAAATTCATCAAATTCTCTTTTATTTGATATGTATTTCTCCTTTTTTAAAGAATATCGATGTATTTATATGCCGATAATAAAATAGTAAGGGCCCGTTTGGACGCAATTTTTGAAGGGTGAAAGCCTGCCAAAATTCTGAAAAAGTCAGAACTTTTGCAGGCTTTCTTGCAAAATCGCCCCAAATTGGGGCGATTTTGCAAGAAAACCGGCCAAAGTTCTGACTTTTTCAGAAATTTGGCAGGTTTTCCCCCTCCAAATAATGCAAACAAACGGCCCTAAGGGTTTGACAAGGAAAAGTTGGCACGTGGAAAGAGATGAATAGTTGGTATTTGGTTTCAGAGGGGGAGAGATTATTTTTATGGGTTAAATTATAATGATTGTTAGGATTAATATTTTATTCTTTGTCTAGAGGGAGTGTACGATAAAGGAGGATGAACCTATTTTAACATGTTTTGGTGGTATGCTTCTTTTTTTTCCGTACTTACAACACAGTCTTCTTTTAGTTGGGACATTAGAATTGATTATATGGAGCACTAAAAAATTTGTTCCCTTTGTTTCTAACATTAATAAAATTGGGGAAAAAATGAAAAATATTCAACACATCCTCAATGAAAAAATTATTGATGTGAACAAAATAATTGTTTTTACTAGATTTTCCCCTTTGTGTTTGAGAGTATGTCTTTTTTGGGGACAATGACAATGGATATTGCTAGACTGCTTCCTTTATATTTAGGAGATAAGGATCATATATGGCTTGTAACGATTGGTTATTAGCGTCGAATTAATTATTTGTTGGTTTGGCCTATTATAGAAGAATAATTCTTTCGTACCGAATTTATGAGACCATGGTATCAAAGAGCTAAGTTGGAATGTTCCAATCTAGACAAATAAAGGCGATGAGAAGGGTTAGGTTTGGTAACAAAAGAAGAAAACAATTTGAAGATGAAACTGACAAACTTTCTATATTCTTCCACCCACATCGCTTAATCTTTTTTCATTTCCATCAACCCACAAATCTTTCAAGGATAACGGTGTACAAACTTAACATTATATTATTGGCAATTTCTTTCAAATAACATGTATACTGTTCAAATTCAATAAAACCTATATTTGTAAATATTAAAATCAAATATCGTTCATAATCTCAACTCATTGATAAATCTCTTATAAACAGTTTTTTTTCTTGATAGATCTTATGTACCTGTTGACTAAATACCATATTATTATCTTACTAAATCACTACCAAAACAACAGACCTATCAAATGCCACGTATCTAAATAAAATTTTCCTCATTATCACCTTGATCAAATAGATCAAGTTCGTCTCTGAGGAAGAATGATTCGGTGATGGACTGACGATGGCAATAGACTAGAGCAGGACTATGTTGGGGATGAAGAGAGTAAAATGATGGTGGCGACGAGGCAATCGTGCAATGCCAGACAAGACGTGGTGTTGAGCACAGAGAGTTCTTAATTTGGAGAAAAGCTACTTCTGATGGGGTTTGTTGCGTTTAGATGTTGGGAGAGATGAATTTGCTCATTCTCCAAAACACTTTTTTTCTTGATCGATATTCCAACTCACTTGATTGACTTAGGGGGTGTTTGTTTCAACTCTTTTTTGGGATATAGGGTGGATTACAAATTCTAGGATGAAAAAGTGGGTTTCTTAGAGTTTTAGGATTCCATAAACTTTGTTTGTTTCAAAACAAATTTTGGGATATTGGATCCCCAAATTGTAAAAAACTAATATTTTTTAGAATTTGTGAAATCCCCTCATTAAGAGAGGATATGGGCTGGATCTTTGAGAAAACCACTCTACCTCATCAAGACACCCTATTCAGCTTCCGAAAATCTCTCTCACTCCCAACCCTAGAGTCACTGCTATTTTTGTCTCCCTCCTCTTTTACCCGCCTCCTATTTCTCGCTACCAAACTATAACGTTCTTCATCCCTTTTCAACATATTTTTGACCAAACGTTACCCACCTCCTCCATTTCCGCTGTATCTTTGGTTTGCAAGAAGATTTAGAGGTCAAAACAGAGATTTGGGCGAAATTATTTTGGGGATTTCTGTTGATTCAGGATTCTAGGGTTGCAGGCGATTCTCTCCTACTCCGCACGTATAAATCTCGCACCCCCTCTCTCTAAATAGAAATTTTTATTGCTTTGATTTGTGTTAGGGTTTTGTAATTATGATTTGGGTTGATTTTGATTGCTCCAAATCTGCTTCGGCTGTCTATTTTTTCGCCAATTTAGAGTAATTTTTGGGATTTCTATTTTTGGTTTTGGGTTGGGGGAGAGGACGAGGCCAATTGAACTGGAGATTACTTTGTTACTTGTGTTCAATTGATTTTTTTTTCCTTTCAATCTGTTTAGAGTTGATTAATGCTCTTTAGAGTTCATCTTTTTTACTTGAGTTTGATTAATGTTCTTTGGATAGTTTAACCATCAAACGAAAAACATAGACCTATTGTTTGAGCCCTCAATTGTTCAGCTCTGGTGAAGTTGATGTCTTTGTTAAATTTTAGATTTTTTTATCTACAATTATCACTACTTGCTAAGGACACGACGAGGTAGAATTACTGATAATGCCTTATTCTAGTGACCATGAATTGTTGTACTCGAAGAACTTTTCTATGGGGAGGATGTGTTGTTGATATATATGTTGCTATAGTTCTTTGAAATATGTATATTAGAACTTTGAATTCATAATTTTCCTCTTAGTTTCTTAGAATTTGTAAGATTAGCTTCCTCTATTTTATGTGTTTATTAAGGTTAATTTCACTTAACTCCTTGAACATTGTTGATTATTATTTACTATCTGAGCACTTTGTTTAAGATTGATGCATAGTATTTTTACGGAAAATTTCTTCTTAAAACAATGTAGATGGGTGACATTGATGAAGAAATGTTAATGAGGATGGCTTCTAATTCTACTATCTTTGTGGTCATTTGTGTGTTTGCTTGTTTAATGAGGATACGTAGTAGAAGGAAATCAGTCACTTATCACCCTAAGGCAGGGAAAAAAGAGAAGATAGATTCTAGAGCTAGGCACATAAGTTGTGTGTTTAATGGCTATAATGAGAGTTGTAGGGCTTATGTTAGAATGAGGCCGCATGCATTTAAAAATCTTATTAGAATAATGAGATATACCGGCCTACTAAAAAATTCACGGGATGTTAAAGTAGAAGAACAATTAATCACAATTGATCATGTTCCTTAATATATTAGGCCATAAAACAAAAAATAGAATTGTTAGGTCACATTTCATAAGGTCGGGGAAAACCATTTCAATATATTTTAACAAGTGTTTGGAAGCCGTTGGTCGTTTAAGGGGGCGGTACATGAAGCAAGCACCAAATAAAGTATCGCCAAATATTGCCACCAACCCGTTATACTATCCTTATTTCAAGGTGATTACTATTATAATATAATAATTAATTTTACCTTTCTATTATTAGTAACTGTTTAATATATCATATAAGATTGCATTGGCATGATAGATGAAAACCGTTTCAATATATTTTAACAAGTGTTTGGAAGCCGTTGGTCGTTTAAGGGGGCGGTACATGAAGCAAGCACCAAATAAAGTATCGCCAAATATTGCCACCAAC